TTAGGCTTTTTAAAATATATATATAGATTTTATTGATTTTTTTTTTTTACAGAGAGGAAGGGAGAGGGATAGAGAACTAGAAACATCGATGAGAGAGAATCATCGACCAGCTGCCACCTGCACACCCCCTACTGGTGTTGTGCCCGCAACCAAGGTACATGCTCTTGACGGGAATCGAACAGACTCGACGCTCTATCCATTGAGCCAAACCGGTTTCACTTCTCTTTTTTAAAATACAAGCCATCCTAATGGGTGTGAGACCCAGATAATTGTCACCTGTAAGGCAGTTCCTGAGACACTTCCCCTTACAAAGCTCATCTTTGTTTGACCTGACTCAGAACTGTTTGCATAGCCATTTCAAAGCAGTTGGTGGTCATTGTTTAACTCCACAGATGCCTGCAGTGGTGATAAGAGTTAGAGCAAACAAGAGGTTGAACAATAAACATGAAAGTAAGAGCCAAGGAATAGAATGTCCAGAGGGGGATTTGAAAAGCTCTGCAGCCCTGGCTGGTTAGGGCCTTTGGTTAGAGCACTGTCCGGCTCTGCCAAGATTATGGGTTCGATCCCCAGTCAGGGCACATCCAAGATACCAATGAATGAAAAAATAGGTGGAATAACATACGGATGTTTTTCTCTCTCTAGTCAATACATAATTAAAAAAAAAAGTTCTGCTATATTCCTGGGGATCTGGAAGGACAGGTGCAGGTGCATGCGCAGTGCTGTAAGCACACCCAGAAAAGAACTGAGGCGGCCCTAAGCTCTCACCTCTGTGTAACCTTGAGGCCTTCTGGACACAAGGCAGGACTCACTAACTTTAGGCCCCGTTTTCAAAGGCAGGCTTGGGAGAAATGTTAACTCCAGGAAATTAGAATCTGATGAAAGATCTATTTTAAGTATCACGGTGCATGGAGGAGTTGGAGGGATTGTCCACAACTGCCAGGTTATGCCATGTTGCAGAGCAGACACAGGGAGATCTGAGCCCTTCTCAAGGGTGTTACCAAGATGGATTTATTGCCGAAATCGTTGTGGCTCAGTGGATAGAATGTTGGCCTGCGGACTGGGGGGCCCCAGGCTCCATTCCGGTCAAGGGCACGTACATTGGTTGCGGGCACATCCCCAGTGGGCGGTGTGCAGGAGGCAGCTGATTTTCCTCTCTCACCGACGTTTCTAGCTTTCTAACCCTCTTCCTTCCTCTCTGTAAAAAAATCAATTAAAAAGAAAAGATGGATTTATTGTGATTTGGAGAAAGGAGTAGGCCTTCTTGACTGGGTGAAGCACACATAACAGAGGAAGCTGAGTACTGGACATGCCAAATTGGTGGTAAGAGTTAGAGCAAACAAGAGTTTGACCAATAAACATGAAAGTAAGAGCTAGGGAACAGAATGTCCAGAGGGGGATTTGAAAAGCTCTGAAAGCCTGCCAAGATTATTAAAAACTGAGAAGGGCTCTGTCTCAGGTAGAATTTGGTTGCTCTAGGTAACTGGATTCTCAAAAAGGTTATTGTCAAAGAGTCCTCAAACTCTAGAATCCCAACCCTTCCCCAGATTAAAAATACTACTGAGCCTGGAATTGCAGGTGTAGTGCCCGCACTCACAATGACCGGAGAGGGGTGAACGAGGAGTAGGGTTTGTGCCTGCTATCCCCCCTTAACAAGCCTGTTCGGCCAATCTTGAAAACAGACGAGTTCTGGAATCAGGGAAGGACAAAAAAGTCAGTCTGTGCAAGTGTGCTTCATGTTGGGGTTAGTAAATACTGGAAGGTTCCGTAATCATCTCTTACCTTAGGAGCACATGGCTATTCTCATTATGGTTCTGAACAGCAGTCTGCCACTGCTTGGCAGTGGGGACAGCAACTGCTTCGCTATCCTGCTCTAGGAGTGTGCCACATTCTGACCCACCAGGACTTTGTACCAGTGGCCTAAATCAGTGGTCGGCAAACTGCGGCTCGGGAGCCACATGCTGCTCTTTGGCCCCTTGAGTATGGCTCCCCCATAAAATACATTTGGGCACGCACGTACAGTGTGACTGGAGCTTTGTGGCCCATGCGCAGAAGTTGGTTTTCAGCATGGGCGAGTCTATTTTGAAGTGGCCTTAGAACACTCAAGGGGCCTAAGAGCCACATGTGGCTCTCGAGCCGCCGTTTGCTGACCACTGGCCTAGATCAAACTCAAATCCTACTTATTACATCTATGGCTTAGTGACTGGGGGTGATTTAGAAACAATTGTGCCGTAGCTCAGTTGGATAGTCATCCTGAGAGGCCAAGGTTTTGGGTTTTATCCCTGCTCAGGCACATGTATCAATCAATGAATGCATATATACATGGAATAACAAATTGATGTTTCTAAAATCAACAATTTAAAAAATATATATTGATTGATTTCAGAGAGGAAGGAAGAGGGAGAGATAGAAACATCCATGATGAGAGAATCATGGATCGGCCGCCTCCTACAAGTCTCCCCACTGGGGATCGAGCCCATAACCCGGGCATGTGCCCTTGACCGGAATCAAACTTGAGACCTTTTAGCACCACGCTCTAACCAACTGAGCTAACCGGCCCCACAAACTTGAGACCTTTTAGTCTGCAGATGACGCTCTATCCACTGAGCCAAACTGGCTAGGGCTCAATAACAATTTTTTAAAAAGAAAAAAAGCACTTGTGCCTAAACTCTGACTTCCCTTGTTGATTTTGTATCTCAGACCATTAAACAGAAAAGTTTGAGGACTCTGACAATAACCTTTTTGAGAATCCAGTTACCTGGAGCAACTGAATTCTACCTGTGACAGAGCCCTTCTCAGTTTCTATTTTATTTTTTTAGAAAGAATGTAAGGGAGAGAGAAGCATTAATTTGTTGTTCCACTTATATATGTATTCACTGGTTGATTCTTTTCTGTGCCTAACCAGGGATGAAACCAAAACCCTTGGCCTATTGGGATGACTCTAACCAACTGAGCTACCCAGCCGCAAGGCAAAAGATTTTTTAGCCCTAACCAGTTTGGCTCAGTGGATAGAGCGTCAGCCTGCAGATTCAAGGGTCCCAGGTTCAATTCCGGTCAAGGGCATGTACCTTGGTTGCGGGCACATACCCAGTAGGCAGCTGATCAATGTTTCTAACTATCCCTCTCCCTTCCTCTCTGTAAAAAAATCAACAAAATAGCCGAGTCTGGTTTGGCTCAATGGATAGAGCGTCGGCTTGGGGACTGAAGAGTCCCGAGTTCAATTCCAGTCAAGGGCATGTACCTTGGTTGTGGGCATATCCCCAGTGGGGGGTGTGCAAGAGGCAGCTGATCGATGACTCTCTCTCATCGATGTTTCTAGCTCTCTATCTCTCTCCCTTCTTCTCTGTACAAAATTAATAAAATATATTTAAAAAATCAACAAAATAGATTTTAAACATTTAATCTATAGGCCTCTCTCAAAAATGGATACTTTATAATAATAATAATTTTAAAAAGCATAATATGCTAAAAAAAAAAAAGATTTTTTTAACTTCAAGCCAAAGTTTTGGAACTAAAATGGGTTCCATGAAAATAATTGGTTCTGCCGAAGCCGGTTTGGTGCAGTGGATAGAGCACTGGCCTGCGGACTCAAGGGTCCTGGGTTCGATTCCGGTCAAGGGCATATGCCTTGGTTGAGAGCACATCCCCAGTGGGAGGTGTGCAGGAGGCGGCTGATAGATGTTTCTCATCGATGTTTCTCTCTATCCCTCTCCCTTCCTCTCTGTAAAAAAAAATCAATAAATTATATTTAAAAAACATAACCGCCTCTTTTGGAAAGGAGGGCTAACATATCCCATTCATGGGTAGATGCTTCCGTTCCTTTCACTGCCATCATTGGACTCACATTATGCTGTGAACCAAGATGAGAAGCAGAGACACTGCTAGGATTCCTGCTCAGACAAGTGTCCGGAGATGTGGTGTTCCAGATCCATAGTGTCTGCTTAGGGGACAGACGTCATAGCTTCTGTGTTCTTTTTTTTTTTTTTTTATAAAGTATATTTTATTGATTTTTTACAGAGAGGAAGGGAGAGAGATAGAGAGCTAGAAACGTCAATGAGAGAGAAACATCGACCAGCTGCCTCTTGCACACCCCCTACCGGGGATGTGTCCGCAACCAACGTACATGCCCTTGACTGGAATCGAACCTGGGACCTTTCAGTCCGCAGACCGACGCTCTACCACTGAGCCAAACCAACTTCGGCAGCCTCTGTGTTCTGAGTGAGTTCGTGAGCGAATGGATCCTTTAACTGGTCTGACAGCCCAAGTAGGGTAGTAGGGCTGAAAAATGAAGTGGTCCCTGCCTCGGCGCCCCTCCCACCTCCACTCATGATCGGCGTACCATTGATGAGCTGTTCATCTAAGTATTTGAAATGCTTTTTATTTTACACGAAGTGCTGATAAATAGTAGGTTTGTGTCCAGCCTCCCTCTGGTCCATCCATTTCATGCTGTCCCTGTCCCAGGGCTGAACTGCAAGTGCAGGACAGAGCAGTGACAAAGGCAGGCTTCTGACAATGTACAGAACTGGGAACTGAAAAACAAAGCAAAAACCAACACCAAACAATAAGTGGCTGGACAAAAATCATACACCTATGGATGAGGATTGCGGGGGGGAAGGGCAGAGGGTGGAGTGGGGACCAGGTAGATGGGAACTATGGGGGGCGGCGAGAAACAATTGTAATAATCTGAACAATAAAGATTTATTAAAAACAAAACAAAACAGCTGAAACCAGTTTGGCTCAGTGGATAGAGCGTCGGCCTACGGACTGAAAGGTCCCAGGTTCGATTCCGGTCAAGGGCATGTACCTTGGCTGCGGGCACATCCCCAGTGGGGTGTGTGCGGGAGGCAGCTGGTCGATGTTTCTCATCGATGTTTCTGACTCTCTATCCCTCTCTCTTCCTCTCTGAAAAAAAATCAATAAAATATATTTTTTAAAAACTGAAAAAACAAAAACAAAACAAAACAACAGTAAGTGGCACCTGGGGAGTGGAATGGGTCCATGGGTCAGTCCTCATCGGAGTCATCGGGGCCTATGTACTCGCACACAGCATCGTAGTGAAGCTCCACCACCCGATTCTCTCTCCGCAGCTGCACCACAGCCTGGCTCTGCTCTCGGTCCCAGCTCAGCAGGCGGCCCACCTAGAGGGACAGCTGACGTCAGCCAGGCCAGCGCAGACCCTGGGACATCCCTTGCCCCATCCCTTGCTCCCACTGCCCCTTCCCAGGTCCGGGACTCACCCTTCCAGCCTGTGGCCCCAGCACCACCATCACCCGTTTGCCCTGGACCTTGGGGATGAGGGTCTCGAGCATGTCTTCCCTGATGCCTGCAGAGAAGGAAAGGCGTGTGAATGAGGTCTGCAGCCAAGGGCCAGCCCAGCCAGGGTCCTGTCAGAAGGGTCTTTCATGGATTCCATGGAGCCGCCCGTACCCTGTTGGCTGATGGGAGTCCTACTACACCCGTTTCACAGACCAGGAAACCTAAGAGCAGTTCCTAGCAGTAGCTGTACTAAAGGGAGCATTTCCATACAGTGATGACGGGTGGTGGTGGTAACAGGACATGGCGTACTGTGACCATGCTTAAACCCTGCCCTGCATGGGGGGTTCAACGCCCTCCCACATAAAGCATCACTCACAACAGGAAGAAATGGGTCATTTCCAGGCTGCTTTTGCAGACGTGGAAAGCGGGGCTCAGGGAAGTATCTGACATCGTGTTAGAGAATGCGGGGCCTTGCAAAAAACTCCAACTCTGCCCAACCTCCCCGCTTTTGCCTGGACAGGCTTTTGGTTTAAGATAGCCTTTTTAAAAGAATGCATTTTTATTGATTTCAGAGAGGAAAGGGGAGGAGAGGAGAGAGAGAGGGAGAGAGAGAGGGAGAGGGAGAGGGAAGGGAAGAGGGAGAGGGAGAGGGGGAGGGAGAGGGAAAGGGAAAGGGAGAGGAGATGGAGAGGGAGAGGGAGAGGGAAAGATCAAAGATAAGAGGAAATTATCGATTAGCTGCCTCCGGCATGCTCCCCAATGGAAATCGAGCCCACAACCCACAACCAGGGCATGTGCCTGGCCAGGAATTGAACTGTGACCTTCTGCTTTGTAGGTTGATGCTCAACCACTGAGCCATGGCAACCAGGCTAAGTAAGACAGCCTTCTTTTTTTTAAGTATTTTTATTAATTTCAGAGAGGAAGGGAGAGGAAGGGAGGGAGGGAAGAAGGGAGGAACATCAATGATGAGAATCATTGATTGGTGGCTTCCTGCACCCCCCTACTGGGGATTGAGCCCACAACCCAGGCATGTGCCAAAATCGAACCCGGGACCCTTCAATCCATAGGTTGATGCTCTAGCCACTGAGCCAAACTGGCTAGGGCTAAGTCAGCCTTCTTTTTAAAAAAAATATATTTTGTTGATTTTTTTACAGAGAGGAGGAGCAAGGGATAGAGAGCTAGAGACATTGATGACAGAGAAACATCGACCAGCTGCCTCTTGCACACCCCCTACTGGGGATGTGCCCGCAACCAATGGACATGCCCTTGATCGGAATCGACCCTGGGACCTTTCAGTCTGCAGACCGACGCTCTACCACTGAGCCAAACCGGCTTCGGCAAGACAGCCTTCTTGATCAGCCTGCAGGATGTTGATGACCCAGTGGCCATCCCTCAGACTCACCATCCAGGACCTGGCCTTCATCTGTCCGACACACACAAGTGTCCGGGCTGAGGACATCTTCGATGATCATCTGGGGAGAGGGCCGGGGACATGAGCACGTCAGTGAGTGAAGGGGGCCCGGTCCCTGGGGGGGGGGAGCAAGGGGACCTGGCTGGGGTGCCTACCTTGGTGTTGTAATACTGGCCGCGCTTGTGCAGCTTGTCCACAAAGCGCACGCGCAAGTCCCTGTGCAACCAGTGCTGCCTCCTGGAGGCTGCTTTCTCCCTCTTGGCTGGAGGCTCATCTTGTCTGTGGAGACAGGGCAGACCCCAGGCTTCGTCACATGTGCGTTCTGGTCGCCCCGCCTTTGCTGATGCCGGAAAGCCCACCCACAGTATCGTTTCTAGTTCCTTCCATGCACCTGCCTTGCCCTGGGAGCCTTCTCTGACTGCCGGAGCCTCCCCACACCCCTACCTTCCTCCGTCATCCCAGATGCCCAGGGCCCCACCGGTCTGGAAGGTGCTTCCGCTTCTCTTCCGCGCTCTGCCGGCCGGGAAGTTGTGAACCCTTCCCCAGCGAGGCCGTTCCGTTCTGCGGCCCTGAGGAAGTTTTGCTCGCGTGGTCTGTTCAAGGGGGAGAACCAGGAAAGACCTTCAATGTCTCACCTCAGCCTCAGACCACCTCCCATCTGCCTCAGTGCCCCTTCTCCCCAAGCATGCCTGTGCCTGGGCCATCAGAATGCCCTTCCCTTCCTCTCACCTGTCTCGGCCTCCATCAGGAAGCCTTTCTCAACCGCCACAGCCTGTGCCCACAGTGCCTGCCCGAGCCGCCTGCCTAGTGCGGGCTAGGAGTTCTGGGGAGCCCCGTGGCACCCATCTCCCACCTCCCATCTGCCAAACTGCCCCATTCTGCCGACATGTCTAAAATGCTTCCCCACCCCTGGTTATGCCATAGTCCTAGCTGCTCTCACTCCCTAGCAAAAGAGAGGTTCACCACCCTAAATAGACCTCACCCGTTTCTTCTACTTCAGAAAGAGGCTAAAGACTCATGGTCAGCCCTAGCTGGTGTGGCTCAGTGGATAGAGTGTCAGCCTGGGGACTGAAGGGTCCCGGGTTTGATTCCGGTCAAGGGCATGTGCCTTGGTTGTGTGCACATCCCCAGTGGGGGGCGTGCAGGAGGCAGCTGATTGATGCTTCTCTCCCATTGATGTTTCTATCTCTCTATTCCTCTCCCTTCCTCTCTGTGAAAGAATCAGTAAAATATATTTAAAAAAAAAAAGACTCATGGTTACTAGATCAACCTTTCTTCAACCCAACTGAATAAACCACTATCTCCACTCTCACTGCTGCCCCCCCTGCAGATCACACACACACACACACACACACACACACACACACACACACCATGCGAGCCCAAGACAAGCCCTCTCCTCCCCAGCTAGGTAAGAGCTCACTCACTGGGATCCAAGGAGTTCTTGGAGTTCTTGCTAAATTCTTGCTGGGAGACAGGCCGTAGGCAGTACTCACTGACAGTCACCATGCGGCTCCCCGTGGCCAAGCGAACCATGACCCGGGCATTGTCAGGATCCAGGCCTTCCACCTAAAGTGTTGGGAAGACGCAGTTAGGCAAAGGCTGTGTGAACTCGACCTACATTCCTAGGACCAAGCTTTTCCACCCTTACCTCTAATCGGCCTGCCCATGTCTCCCCCAGCAGGCTGTGACCCCTGAGAGTGGGGACCAAGCTTGGTCCAGGCCGGGTCCTGGAAGTGAGTCTGAGGGATGGCCATTGGCATCTGAAGGCTGACTTTGACCATGAGGCCTGGGACTGGTCCCTGTGTCTCCTCCACCAGACTGTGACCCCTGAGGGCTTGGACCAGGGGTCCCTGTGTTCCCCCCACCAGACTGTGGGGCTTGGCCATATTTTAAGCATTTGATCCTTATGCACTTGTGGCATATGGCACTCTCTCCCCCTTAGCTAGAAACTGAGGCTCAGAAAGGCCCAGCAAGTGGCCCCAAGTTACCAAATAAGGCCTAAAAGACAAGGACTTCCAGCCTTTCTATCCCAAACCCAATTCTTCTCCCTCCTGACCCTCACACCAGTCTTTTCTGCTGCCTGTTTTGGCTCCTGGCACATCTCGGTTCCTTACCTTCCCATAGAGGCCTCGAAAAGGGCCAGAAAGAACCACCACAGCACCTCCAGCTACCAGTCCTTGAGGCTGGTCTTCCTTATCCTTCTCTTGCTCACCTGGCCTCGGCGGGCGGTGGGGGCCGGAGGGGGCCAGGGCCTGGACCTCAGCCAGGTTGGCGCCCAGCCCTAACCCTTTAGGTCTCAGTGAGGCGACAGGGGGCTTCACCACTCTGCAGAGAGCACAAAATATGGGCTTGGGGGATATGTAAAGGTCTTCAATGCTCCCTTTCCCCCCACCCCAATCCCTATCCAAATCCCACCCTTTCAAAATGTTTAAGAGTGTACTTCCCCATCTCATGGTAGGAGTTTTGACCTACAGAAAGGGCAATTTCATTGGATTCAACCTAATAACATGTTACATATGCCACCCATTACATAAGATCCATAGTATAACCAAATTCACTAATATATTTTTTTTACAAGGGAAATCATATAAATATTCATACCAAGCGGGAGAATATACACTACAAAACAATGGCAATTCAGGCCACACCTGGCTGCCAAAGCATTTATGAAAACAAGTTCGGTTTTCAGAATGTTTTTGGAGTTTAAGACTGTGGGGAGGGATTGTAAGTCTGTGCGGTAACAGCAAATGTCTAGTCTATGCTTATTTGGGGCCGGGACCTCCTGCGAGTGCTTTACATGTGTAAGTTCACTTATTTCTCACAACAGACCTGGAACTCAATGCTGTTATTATCCCCGTTTCTCAGACAAGGAAGCTGATGCCCAGAGAGGCGGTCTTTCCATAAATGGGACCCAATCATAGTTTCAAGGGGCAAATAGGAGTTTGGAACAGCAGTGGAAGACACTCCTGAATTCGTTAGGGTGGTAATGTGCCCTTCCCATGCCTAGCTGGTTCTGGGTGGGCGTCACCGCAGGGGTCCCGTTTACTATTCTGTCTGTTGTCCCCATGGGCCTACCCCAGAACTCACTGGCTGAAGGTGCGACCGAGGCCCAGGCCAGGTTTCCAGCCCATGCCCCGCAACATGGCCAGCCCATAGGCCTCCACGGGGACCGCCTCGTAATCGGCCTCCTCGGGCACCTGCGGGTTCAGGAGGAGGAAGAACAGTCAGAGTTTGCTCACACTAAGAGGCCTCTGAAGTGCATTTTCTATCCCCTACTAGGCAAACCTCGATGCTTCTTTTCCAATCAGCTTAAGGGTAACTTCTGATCGACTCTTGCTAACCCTCACTTTACGGCTCTAGTTCAGTCCTTCAACAAATATTTACAAAGCACCTATTCAGTGCCAGGTACTGGGATAAGGCAATAAACAAAACAGACACAAAAAAACCCCCTGACCTTGTGGGGCTTATATTCAAATTATAGGACACAGAAGAAATAAAATACATAAAACATGATATGTCAGGTGGCGATAAGGTATATGAAGGAAAGGAACGCAGGTTAAGGACATGAGGAAGATGAAGAAGGGAATGCCACTGAGTTGACATTGCGAGGAGAGATCAGATGGCGATAACGGGGAGCCATGAGGATGTGAGAAGGAAGATGCAAAGGCCCTGAGGCAGATAAGATGTGGTAGGTGTGAAAACCATCATGGAAGTCAACCTGACTGAAACAGAGATGCAGAGGCAGAGAGGGCTGGCAAGAAATTAATTAAAAGAGCTGGTCAGGAGTCAAGAGGGTGGCAGCCCCAAGGGGGATCAGCTAGTGAGTAACTAATAGATCAGATGAGAGATGCTAGTGGTTCAGACCAGCATGCCAGTGGTGGATGGGGAGAAGCGGTCAGATTCTAGATGTATTTTGGAAAGTGACATGATAGGATTTTGCTGACCAATTGTTTATAGGGTATGAGATAAAGAGGGGAGTCAAAGGTGATGATAAGGTTTCTAGGCTGAGTGAGAGGAAGGATGGATGAAACTGCAAGAGGAGGGAAATGAGGCCAAAGCTAGAACAGGATGGAGAGTAAAGTGAAAGTTTTCTTTTTCTTTTTTTTTATAATAGGGAAACCAGAAGACATCTGAAAGCTGATGAGAACAGTTCAGTCAAAAGAGATGGTGATGTGGGGCTATAAGAAAACGAGGCTCCTGCCCTAGCTGGTTTGGCTCAGTGGAAAGAGTGTTGGCCTATAGAATGAAGGGTCCCAGGTTTGCTTCCGGTCAAGGGCATGTACCTTGACTGCAGACTCAATCCCCAGCCTTTTTTGGGGAGTGTGGGAAGGCAACCAATCAATGTGTCTCTCTCACATTGATGTTTTTCTCTATCCTCCTACTCTCTCTAAAAATTAGTAGAAAAATATCCCCAGGTGAACATTAAAAGGAAGGAAGGAAGGAAGGAAGGAAAAGAAAAAAAAAGGAAAGGAAAGGAAACTACGCTTCAAAGCAGCACTGCAGCCCTGGTCTAGTAGCTCAGTTGGTTAGAGCATCATCCTGCCATGCGAAAGTTATGGGTTCAATTCCCAGTCAGGACACATACAAGAATCAACCAATGAATGCATAAATAAGTGGGATAACAACTCAATGTTTTTCTCTTTCTCCCTTCCTCTCTCTCTAAAATCAATAAATAAAAATTTCAAAACGAAACAACAAAAGGCACTGCAAAAAACTGTGAGTGAAGAGGTAAAATGTAGGCTTATGGGTATAAAAGACAGACTTGGTTCCTTTTGTAGACACAACCCTCATCTCTCATGGTTTCACCTCTCATCATCACTCCCTCAATTTTTTTTTTAATTCCCTCAATTCTTTTATTTAAATTTTTTTTTATTGATTTCAGAGAGGAAGGGAGAGGGTGAGAGAGATAGAAACATCAATGATAAGAATCATTGATTAGCCACCTCCTGCACACCCTACACTGGGGATCCAGGCCACAACCCAAACATGTGCCCTGACTGGGAATCGAACCATGACCTCCTGGTTCCTAGGTTGACGCTCAACCACTGAGCCATGCCAGCCGGGCTCCCTCAATTCTTTTTAAAAAAATAAATTTTATTAATTTTTTTACAGAGAGGAAGGGAGAGGGATAGAGAGTTAGAAACATCAATGAGAGAGAAACATCAATCAGCTGCCTCTTGCGCATCCCCTCCTGGGGATGTGTCCACAACCAAGGTACATGCCCTTGACCAGAATCCAACCTGGGAACCTTAAGTCTGCAGGCCAACGCTCTATCCACTGAGCCAAACCAGTTTCGGCTCCCTCAATTCTTTATACTCACTTCAGATACACAAGTTGCCTCCATGTTGGATACGTATCACATAGATTTGCTGCCAAAATGCCTTTGTCTGGGTTGCTGCTGCCATTAGGAGTACTCACCCTGCTCTTACCATTATCATTAAACCCTAGCTGTCCTTCCAAGTCTCTCTCCTACATTCTCGTCTCAGTCTCCATCATCTGTGGTCAGTAGGTCTCTTTGCTTCCATCTCTGCTTACTAGTCTGTTCAGCTCGCAGCAGCCAGAGAAATCCTGTCAAATCATGCCTTGTCCCTTCTCTGCTCAGGGCCCTCTCATGGTTCTCATCCCGTTCAGAGTAAACCCGAAGTTCTCACCATGGCCCTCCCCTTCACTCATTCCAATCCCGTTACATCACTCTCCTTGGTGTTCCCCAAACACTCCAAAGGATGGAAGGAGGAAGGGGTAGGCAGCAGGCCTCTAACACACACACAGACTTTCCCCGCTCTGTGCAGGGAAGGCCTGGCAGATAGGGAAATGAGCGGCTGGGGCAGGAAGGGGGTGAGGGGCCAGCTCACTGTCTCAGCCCGGGGCTCGCTGCCTGCCCCTTCCTCGTTGGGGGTGCATCCTTTCTGGATCATGGGGATAGCGAGCGTGGGGTCGACACCCGCATTCTCTCTTTCCTCCAGAGACTTCTTGGATTCTGAGGAAGAATGGGAGGGAGCAATGAGGTCCCACCCTACCCTTCCACTTTCCTAGTGTTCTTCCTTCACCGGGGCAAGGCAAAGAGGGGTCACTCACCCTCTATGAGCTCCTTCACAGCCTGGGTCAGCACCCCATCCCCAATGTCCTCAACGTCTGTGGATAGGCCAGGGGCCTGGGTGAGTGGCTGCCTGCGAGGGTCATTCTGGATCAAAGGGATGACGAGTTCCTTGGGGGCTTCTGTGGGCTTCACGCTGATGTAAACACAAAGGGGTTAAGTCGGAAGAGTAGCACGGTCAATGGTGCTGAGCCACAACCCTTCATTCAGAGAAAACACAGGGCCAGACTCACCCACAGGCCCACGGGCCAGGCTCTGTCTGGTTCTTCAGTTACATCTCTGGATATAACAGAGAACCTTCTTTGGATGCCCTCCTCCACCCCCAACAGTTACCTGTGCCTTCCAGGAATCAGTCCTCAGTCAATGGCTTCCACAATGACCCACAAATCACCATCTTCAGTCCAGACTCTCTCCACACCCGCCTTTCCAAATTAGCCTGAGGATGGCCTCCCCCAACCTCAATCTGCCGCTTCATTCCGACCCCATACCGGACAAGCCTCACCATTTCAGTTGAGACACTAGGGTCCTGTCATTCTCTCCTTTCCTTCTTTCAGAACGCGCACACCTCAGGGCCCCCAAATCCTGACACTCCCCTCTCAGGATGTGTTCTCTCTCGTCAATCCCCAGGGCCATCAGGCTCAGTTCCTCTTGTCCTACACACTCCTGCCTTCTCTCCTCCACGAATTTCCTCACGCGGCACTCAGGCTTTCCAGGCCACTGGCACCGAGACAGTCAACTCAGATTGCATTCTCCCCCTCGCACCCACCGCACCGATGCCCAAGGGTTGAAAGAACCAGCGCTTCACCTCTGCAGCTTCCTTCCTTCCACGGTCTTCAGGAAATCCTTCTCTTCCGAAGCCGCACCCTGGTCGTCTCCCCGGTCGGCCAGCCGTCTTCGGGCCGTACGACTGAAGCTAAACGAAATTGGGGCTGTAGAGGGTCCCCCGGTCCTCGAAACACCTTCTTCAGAGTCCGCCATCTTGCTCCTCTTCCCAGGCCCGCGCGCTGCTTGCTGGGAAGTTTAGTTTGGGCTCAGTTTGCCAGAGGCCGGAGGACGGGCGCTAGAACTACATTTCCCATCAAGCACTGCGGCATCTACCCGCGAAGACGAATCAGGGGCCGTGGGAAGTAGTTGCCGCTTTGACTTTAGAGACGCACTTAGCGCCAAGCATGCTGGGAAATGTAATTCCTCCGGGGAGGTAGGCGTGGTAAGAGGTGGTGTCGTTCTCGCCCTGCATTCATTATTTGTATTTGGCAAGTATTTATTGATCGCCTACTGTGTACATGTTACTGTGCCCTACTCGTGTGGAAAGTGTAGGTAAGATAAATAGAGGGGGGAAATCTTTGAATACCAGTTGTGTAAAATAATACAAAATAGACATGTAAATAATGCCCACCGATGCAAGATTTAATACTCGACAAGCTCTAGGTTCAAATATTAATAAAATAGCCCCGACTGGTGGTTAGAGCATCGGCCTGCGCAAAGAAAGTTCGCGGGTTTGATTCCCAATCAAGGGCACATGCCCTGGTTGCAGGCTCCATCCCTAGTAAGGGATATGCCAGAGGCGGCCAATCAATCATTCTCTCTCATCACTGATGTTTCTGTCTTCCTCTCCCTCTCCCTTTCTCTCTGAAATCAATAAAAATATAAGATAATAATTTAAAAAAACAAATAAAACAGACCTCCTCCTCTTTAGAGGCTTATAGCCCAGTGGGAAACAATGACGCAAGTCCTTGGGGTGCAGACCCATTGTGGCCCCCGCCCTGCGGACCAGCGCCGCCACATCGGCCTCGATTCTGGCCGCCAGGGGGCGCCAGGAGCTGCCTGGCGCTGGGGCCCACAGGCCGAGGAGCATGGCGGCCTGCTCCGGGCCGGTGGGGGAGAACTGGTCAAAAAAAATCCGAGATCAGCGAACCCCCACACTCCCCGAAGACCTAGAAGGCCCCTCAGGATCCCCGGAGCCCCTCCACTCCCGCGGGAGTTCCGGAGGTCACCGACTGTCCCTCTCATCCTCTGTGAACCCCACCTTCGCGGGTACGCATGTGGACACCCCCCCACCCCCGCCTCCACGACATCCCTGGGGACTGCTGTTTGGCCCAGTATCCCTGCACCCTCCGGGGGCCCCGTGACTGTCTCTGCAACTCCCTGAATGCCCCTTCCTCACCCTCATTCCAAACTCTTACCCCCAAAATATGAGAGGGACCCCGACTTCCCCACGGTCTCTCTCTCCCCTCACCCCCCGTGGCCCGGGACTCCGACTCCCCCTCCTGATGCCCTGGCCCCAGACTGCCCTCTGTTATCCCCACGGGCCCGCTCCTAAGCCCCTGAAACTCATCACAGACCAGTGGCAGGCCCCTCCCGCACATCCCCCCCAGAGGCCCCTGAGAGCCCCACCCCCAGGCTGGCGCGCAGCCCCGGGGCGCGGTGCGGGAGGGGCCTCCAGCGCAGCCAGGGTCGCTGGGCCCCTCCTGCCACTGCCGCCAGGGACCAGGCTGCCTGTTTACCACCTGTCAGAGGGCACGGGAGGGAGCGCACAGGCGGGGCGAGGTGTGTGGGAGACGCGCCTACCCCCCTCTCCCCCTGCCACCGCCGTCCTTCCCCTGCTCCCCCTAGGTTCCGTGATGCCCTCCCTCCCCCGTGTGGGCCTCTATGACCCAGTCGCCCAGGACGCATTTGGAGCGCCCGTGTGCACTCACCTGCCCGCCAGCCTGTCCTGGCCCTGGGGCGGGGGGGGGGGGGGGGGGAGCGGCCTGTTCTCTGGCGCCTCAGTCGGGGCGGGGCGGGGTGACCTACCTGGCGTCCTGCAACGAGGCCTGGCTGTGAGTGCCAGCGCTTGGCCTCGCTCTGCCCCGGGGTGCCTCTCTCATCCCTGGACCCTGGGCTGGGGCCCTTCTTCCACCCACGTGTTATTCCACGTGTAAGAAGGGGAAGTCGAGTGCAGAGAAGTTAAAGACTCCACACCCAGACCTGATCCCTAAAAATGAGATGCAGAACTGGAGCCCAAGTGACCTGGGAACTCCACAGCCTCCAACAGAGCTTTGCACATAGTAGGTGTGGAGAGCCGCTACAGCGTTTGGACAGGTTCAAGCCTGGGACTAGTGAGAGGGCACGATCCTCTCATGGCAAAGCCACGTGCAAGTCCCAGCACAATTACAGTCAAAGGCTATAGTTGTAAGCTTAACCTTATGGTCCAAACCGAGGGGCCCTCTTCGCTAATGGGCTTTGAGAGGTGCAGCAAGTAAACAAAGCTTGATCAGGGGCATGTAATTGAGTAGATTCCAGCCTTCCCCCCCCCCCTCCAGAACACTGTAAACATCTTGACCAAGCCCTTACTTTGTCCCCTGGAATCTGGCTATAATAGGCCGGGCTTGCAGGCTGTATGTAGGCTGTCTCTCTATCAGAGATGGGCATTACACCTGGACCCAGCTTTATTCTCTTGTCTATCTTTTCTCCATCCTTCACCGCCCCCTCTCAGGTTCACCCATGGCAGTGCCAGCTTGGCACAAGTAGGCACTCAGTAACTTTGCAGTGAATATCTGCAAAGAATCAAATATCAACTCAGCCCCTACCGAGGAACTAATGGGCTGGGAAGGGAACCTTTGGGGCCATGGAAGGGCTGAGGACCCTGAGCCTGAGAGGGTTGGGGGCTCAAAAACCGGGGAAGGGCAGGTCCCCTGGAGAGTTGAGAGGCAGTTGGGTCCTGGACTTGGGGACGCTTTCAAGGCACCTCGGTGGGAGGGGACACCAGGCGATGAGAGGGGAGAAATGAAGCTTTTTCCGGATTTGAAAAGGTGTGGATGTCTGGGGACATAGGCCTGAGGGGGGGGGGCAGTTGGGTGCAGAGCTACTGTATCGAAGGAGGAATGGGGACAGTGAGAGACAGCCTGTAACTATCACTTCATGGAAGAGGAAGCAGGCTGCAGGGACTCGGTCACCTGCCCAGGGCCCAGCAGCCAGGTGACAACAGCACCGGCTTCAGGCAGTTCATCCCCAGCATTCACTCGGGCCCTGACTCTTTCACTGCAGGCTGTGGACGCACAGGGTCCTGATGTCCCTTCTGGCTGGCTGGGCAACCTCTCTCATCCACCTTTCCTGGTCCCAGTGCTGTCATAGGTGAATGGTCTCTGCATGGTCTCTGCTTTCATTCCTCCTGCGGTCCCCTGCTTCCCCCACCTCTGACCTGACCAGATACCCTAGATCAGTGGTCGGCAAACTCATTAGTCCACAGAATCAAATATCAACAGTACAAGGACTGAAATTTCTTTGGAGAGCCACATTTTTTTTTTTTTTTTTTTTTTTAATATATTTTATTGATTTTGTACAGAGAGGAAGGGAGAGAGATAGAGAGTTAGAAACATCGATGAGAGAGAGTCATCGATCAGTTGCCTCTTGCACACCCCCTACTGGGGATATGGCCACAACCAAGGTACATGCCCTTGACCGGAATCGAACCCGGGTCCCTCCAGTCCCCAAGCCGACGCTCTATCCATTTGAGCTAAACCGGTTTTGGCGAGAGCCACATTTTTTAAACTTCAACTTCTTCTAACGCCACTTCTTCAGCATAGACTCGCCAGGCCGTGGTATTTTGTGGAAGAGCCACACTCAAGGGGCCAAAGAGCTGCATGTGGCTCTCGAGCCTCAGTTTGCCGACCACTGCCCTAGGCACTCCTCAAGACCCAAGCTGTGGCCTTAGATTGCTCAATGGGCCTCAAGCTCAGCCCCCCCCCCCCTCCACGCTGAAGGGGGAGATACATGAACCTCCTTCACCGCTCTGCCCCACTCTCAATATTTCCAGCTCTAGCTGAAACCAGTTTGGCTCAGTGGATAGAGCGTCGGCCTGCGGACTGAAAGGTCCTGGGTTCGATTCCGGTTAAGGGCATGAACCTAGGTTGCGGGCCCATCCCCAGTGGGGAGGGGTGCAGAAGGCAGCTGATCTATGTTTCTCTCTCATCGATGTTTCTATCTATCCCTCTCCCTTCCTCTCTGTAAAAAAAAAAAATTAAAATATATTTTAAAAAATATTTCCAGCTCTAAAGGTGCAGAGGGCAGCTTATATTTCTGTGCTGGGGGTTTCCTGAACTGGTGGATGGGGTAGGGAGGTCCTTACAGGTCAGGGAACGGGAGATGGAGGCTCTGTGGATCCCTGAGTGGAAGGGACTTGAATGCACGGATGATGCGGGCAGGGTGCCAAGCCCTGAAGCCTCGATGCCTGGGACATGGGACGGGAAGCTTGCCAATTGGATGGGTGCTCCAGGGTCTGCAGGTGGGGAATTTCTTCCACGGAAGACGCTCAGTCCTGGGGATTCTGGGAAGGAAGGGGGTGCACAAGGACAGCCCAGGGGATGGATTGGAGGGGCAGGGGCTCTCCGAGAGGCAGGCCACCAGGGCTGCAAAGCTGCGGAGAGTAACAAGGATTAGGGCCGAGGGAGCGGTGCTCGGGTCACGGAGAACGCTGGCCAGGCTGCGTCCACACAGAAGGCAGAGCGAGGCCAAGCGCTGGCGCCCACAGCCAGGCCTCCTGCCTGCCGCCAGGTAGGTCACCCCGCCGGCTGGGGCGCCAGGCACGGAACGGCCGCCTCACCTCGGCCAGGCCGGGCGGGCAGCCAGGTGAGTGCGCGCGGGCGCTCCGAACGCAGCGGGCGGCTGTGTCCACCGGGGCGACTCTGGGTCATGGAGGCGCGCGCGAGGGGCGCCGCGGACCCTAGAGGGAGCAGAGGAGGTAGGCGGTGGCAGGGCGGGGGGCGGGGGGGAGGGTAGGCGCGTCTCCCGCTCACCTCGCCCCGCCTGTGCGCTCCCTCCCGTGCCCTCTGACAGGTGGTAAACAGGCAGCCTGGTCCCGGGCGGCAGTGGCAGGAGGGGCCCAGCGACCCTGGCTGCCCTGAAGGCCCCTCCCGCACCGCGCCCCGGGGCTGCGCGCCAGCCTGGGGGGGGGCTCTCAGGGGGGATGTGCGGGAGGGGCCTGCCACTGGTCTGTGATGAGCTTCGGGGGCTTAGGAGCGGGCCCGTGGGGATAACAGAGGGCAGTCTGGGGCCAGGGCATCAGAAGGGGAGTCGGAGTCCCGGGCCACGGGGGATGAGGGGGGAGAGAGACCGTGGGGAAGTCGGGGTCCCTCTCATATTTTGGGGGTAAGAGTTTGGAATGAGGGTGAGGAAGGGGCATTCAGGGAGTTGCAGAGACAGTCACGGGGCCCCCGGAGGGTGCAGGGATACTGGGCCAAACAGCTGTCCCCAGGGATGTCGTGGAGGCGGGGGGGGGGGGTGTCCACACGCGCACCCGCGAAGGTGGGGTTCACAGAGGATGAGAGGGACAGTCGGTGACCTCCGGAACTCCCGCGGGAGTGGAGGGGCTCCGGGGATCCTGAGGGGCCTTCTAGGTCTGTGGACGGACGGCGGGGAGTGTGGGGGCTCGCCGATCGCGGGGTTTTTCTGACCCGTTCTCCCCCACCCGCCCGGAGCAGGCCGCCGCGCTCCCCAGCCTGCGGGCCCCAGCGCCAGGCAGTTTCTGGCGCGGCTGGACGCGCGCCCCCTGGCGGCCAGAGCCGCGGCCGATGTGGCGGCGCTGGTCCGCAGGGCGGGGGCCACATTGGGTCTACGCCCCAAAGATGGTGAGTGCGGGGCGGGGTAGGGCGAGGCGGGGGGTGGGCGGGAGAGGACTGGAGCTGGGCTCCCAGGGGGCCGGTGTGAGTTAGGAGGACAGGGCTTGGAGGGAGATGCGAGGGCGGGGGCCTTGGGTTACCCTAGAATATTCCTAGGAGGTGACACTGGGAAGGCCATGGCACGAGGTGAGTGTTGGAAGATGGGTTGAGGGTGCGAGGATGCCCATAGGGAGGCTCTGAATGTCATTCCTGAGGAAGCGGGGCCTGGAGGGTGTGGAGGGCGAGCACGGAGCTGAGGGCGGGCCTGGAATTCTGGTGCAGAGGGTGGAGCCTGTACATTCATTGTGGCTGGGACCTCAAAATGTCAGGAATTGGTTGAGATTTATAGGCTATTAAGAGGGCGGAGCCTGGAATGTTCTGGAGTCAAATCCCAGAGTTGCACCCTCCCAGGTGGGCCTGCGGTTTATTGGAGGGGCAAGGTCCCAGTGTAATTAGGAGTAGGAAGGTGTGGGGATGATTCAATGATCCAGGGCCGGGGACTATTACATCGAGATCAGGACAGCCATTGGAGTGTGTGGAGACTAGTTCAATGGGCAGGTCCATAAGATGAGGCTAGGGTGGCCACTCAGGGCGCAGGACCTGGGTGTTGTACATGGCATTCAACCCTGGATTCCCTCCCTTCATCCCCCAGCCATGAGCGAGCTGGATTCTGCGGACATAGAGGTCACGGACAGTCGCCTGCCTAATCCCACTTTTGTGGAACACCGGCCCCAGGTACCACCTAGTCCTCGTAACCCATGCCACCCACCTGGAGACCAGCAATGTATGTACATGTGTGTCCTTACTCTAGCATCGTCGGTCAGAGACCCTGGGGACACGGACTGTGCCGCCCCAAGTGACTCCGATTAAGCCCAGGTATGCTTCAAAGCCGCCCCAGGCGTCTGGGCCGTTCTGTGTGGAGCTGGTGCGCGGTTCTGCGGGCTTTGGCCTCACACTGAGTGGAGGCCGAGATGCGGCCAGAGACACGCCTCTGGCAGTGCGGGGGCTGCTGAGGGACGGGCCAGCCCAGCGCAGCGGTCGCTTGCAGGTGAGCCTGCCCTCTTCCTGGGTCAGGGGGTCAGGGTGCTCTCCACCTGCCCTTCCTCCAACACCCCTCGCCCTGTGCTCCCACAGGCTGGTGACCTGGTGCTTCAAGTCAACGGCGTGTCAACGCAGGGGCTCACTCACGCCCAGGTGGTGGAGCGGATCCGCAGTGGTGGCCCGCGGCTGCACCTGGTGCTGAGCAGGCCTCTGGAGACCCACCCCAGCAAGCCTGAGAGGGGGGGCGGCCCCCACAGAGGAGATGGTGGGTTTCCCAGGGGAGAAGGATCTGGGATCGGGAAAGGGAAGGAGAGGGTCCCAGAATAGAGAGGCTGGGTTACTGGGTGAGAAGGGTTTGGTGGTCTCAGTGGGGAAGGTTGGGAGTTTGGTATCTGTGAGGGGGTTCTGGCCACCTCAAAAGAGGGGCTGAGGTGGGGAGGGTCTCAGCATGAGAAGGTACTGAGAAGGGGAAGAAGGAAGGGGTCTGGTGAAAAGCGGGTGTTTGGAAGGAAGTGCGGCCCTTGGAGGGGAAGGCTGAGCGGGGGTGAGTGGGAAGGGGTGTGAGGCGTTAGGGACCTTAGATGGGCGGGGTTTGATCTCCTTTAGGGGTTGTGGGAAATGATTTCTGAGGATTGAGGGGTTCCGGATCCAGGAGGGGCAGGGTCTCTGGAAAGGAGGGGCTGCATGTCCTGAGGGGTAGTGTCTGATCCTGAAGGACCCGTCCAGGCCTTGATGGGAGGTTTCTACAAGGAGCAGGGTCTCTGTCTCAGCACCTGGAGTCTTCTGGCCACCTTTGGACAAGGGGCCAGCTCTCTCTACCGCTCCCCCAACCTAACCTGCGTTCCGCCCATTCCCAGATCACAGCCCAGATCCTGGGGGACCAGAGGCGACGAGGTCTCCTAGCGCCAGCGCCTTCCCACTTCTTCACCCTCCATCCCCGACGACGATGCCCAAGACCCGGCCCAGCCCGGAGCCCAGCCCAGAGCGGGCAGCGGACCGCCTGGCGGTTCCTCCGGAGCGGGAGCGCCGCACGCAGGACCCAGACGACCGATCCCCCGGTTCCCCAGGGCCCTGGCTGGTGCCCAGCGAGGAACGGCTCTCGCGGGCCCTGGGTGTCCCGGCCACCACGCAGCTGGCCCAGGAGATGGCAGCTGGGAGGCGAAGGCACTGAGCATGTCTGACGGCTGGTGCGCGCTTGGTCCTGCCCCACCTGGAGCCTCGCACTGGCCTGGCCAGCAGACTGCCTCTTGGCCTCGCCCCCTCCCCTGCTGCTCAGTGGGCCAGCCTGCGTCCCCCTCACCGTGTCAGTGGTACAGCCCTCCCTCCCTCCCACCCGCCCGCCTGCCTGCGCTTCTTGTTTGGGCGGGGGAGGTAATAAATCGGTCCTCTCCGTCTGGACTTGCCAGGTGCTGGAGGCGGGGTGGGGCTCCCAGTGCACCCGGTGAAGGAGGGGGAGGGGCGATCCGGATGTGAGGAGGGCCTCTTGCAACCACTGCTCCTTCCGTGCTTCCAGAGGGGGCTCTGCTTCCGCCCGTCCCCAGCCCGGCTGGGTTCTCCCCTCCCCCCCCCCCATGTCCCCGCGCCATCTGCTGCTCCATCCACTCATGGACGTTCCCTTCCTGGAGGTGTTCAAGGCTCAGAGAATGGTTGCGCGTGGCGTGGGGAACGCAGAGTGGGCCTGCTGCGGGAGGGGACACCAGTCTGCCCACAGCCCTGGCTCGGAGTCATGCAGCCTCTCCAGGGCGGGCCGGATGGCAGGGCTAGGAGCCCGGCGGCTCCCTTCGCTGGGACCTGCGGTCTCTCACTTCCGGTCTGACACTTGCAGAGCAAGGGCTGGGGCCCTGGGCCCCTTGGGGCGGGCCGGGCCGGGAAGGTGTGAGTCAGCGGCCCAGCTAAAAAAAGCTGTTGGAGCCTCCGCGCCGCGCCCCCTCTTCCCTAGATGGCGAGAGGCAGCGGGCCTGCGCGCACATGCCAGGCGCTGGGCGTTCCCGGCCCCCGGAGAGGCCAGTTGCTCCATCCTGGGAACAGAGCCCGCAAGCCCAGGCTGCCATGGCCAGCGGGACTCCCAGCTGGTAGCCCGGAAGCCGGCGCTGGGGGAGGCCAGAAAGGGCCAGTCACCTTCGCTGTTACCACATCCTGAACACTTGGCTCCATCTCCCCACCAAAGAGGGAAGCTGGGGAGGAGAAAAGGTGCCGCAAAGTCCTGCTGGGAGTTGGGGTGTAAAGCCGTGAAGATGTAAAAAGGGCCTCTTCTTGCAACCACTGACAAGTGCTGCTTCTTTCTTTCTTTCTTTCTTTCTTTCTTTCTTTCTTTCTTTCTTTCTTTCTTTCTTTCTTTCTTTCTTTCTTTTCTTTTCTTTTCTTTTCTTTTCTTTTCTTTTCTTTTCTTTTTTAATATTTTATTGATTTTTTACAGAGAGGAAGAGAGAGGGATAGAGAGTTAGAAACATCGATGAGAGAGAATCGTCGATCCCAGCTGCCTCTTGCACACCCCCAAATGGGGATGTGCCCGCAATCAAGGTACATGCCCTTGACCGGAATCGAACCCAGGAATTTTCAGTCCATAGGCCAACGTTCTATCCACTGAGCCAAACCGGTTTCGGCAAGTGCTGCTCCTTCCATGTTTCTAGAGGAGTCTCTGCTTTTGCCCGTCCCCAGCCTGGCTGGGTTCTTCCCCCTCCACTTCCCTGTGCCAACTCCTCCTTCTCCATCCATCTTGAATGGCGAGCACTGGAGACATTGTGGAGGCGTGAGCTGCCCCTGACTCCGAGCTTGGTTCGGCATGGCTCTCCAGAAGTAAGGGAAGGCCTCCTGAGCCCAGATCAGGAGACTAATAATAGTAACCCAAGCCACCAGTTACTTAGCCGTATCCCTACTACTGGTTTCACTTGTGCTGTATCATCACACATCTATGATATGCCCATTTCACAGATGACGGAAGTGAGGCCCAAAGACTACATGCCTAGTCTAGATGAGGGAGGGGTTGTCAACATGAATCTAATCCAGGCCTGATTCCCAAGCCTTCATCTTACCTGTTTACCTTGTGCTGCGTGTGATAGGCCTGGGGAGATGCTCGGGGGAAAACAAAGATTTCTCTCTCTGTGTAGTTGTTGTGCTGGGGGTAGACATGTCAGAACAGACAGGAAAATGAATAATATCAGAAGTGACCATCTACACAATGGAATACTACGCTGTGGTCAAAAAGGAGTTCTTACCATTTGCAACAGCGTGGATGGAACTGGAGAGCATTATGCTAAGTGAAATAAGCCAGGCAGAGAAAGATAAATATCACATGATCTCACTCATTTGTGGAATATAATGGACAACATAAACTGATGAACAAAATAAATCCAGAAACAGAAACATCAATCAGAATGTCAAACCTCAGGGAAGGAAGGGGACAGTGGGGGAAGGGGGAGAGATCAACCAAAGGACTTATATGCACACATATAAGCCTAATCAATGGGCACAGACAACAGGGGGGTGGGGGCATGAATGGGAGATGAGCGGTAATGGGGGAATAAGAACACATGTAATATCTTAATCAATAAAAAAATTAAAAAAGAAGTGAAAGTTACGAAGACAGCAAGAGGAGGTTATGTTGGGGAAGGAAATTATGGTGGGTTGCCGGCCTCTTTGAAGACATAACACTTGAGCTGAGACCTGAATGACCAGAAGCGAGATGTATAAAGAACTGGGAGAAGTGCATTGACAGCAGCAGGAACATCAGGTGCGAAGGCCTGGATGAAGAGCAGAGTATGGTATGTTCTAGAAACTCAAGCACGTCTTCAGTCTTCACACAGTTAGAAAGCACACACTGAGCCCTAGGAAAGTAGGCTTCATCCCTTCCGCTATCGGATCACTCTTTCACCGGGCTGAAAGAGGAGAGTCCCTTCTCTGGTTTTGAGGGGCCAGAGCCTAAGGGATGGACAGCGTGAAAGCCCTTTGGTTGAAGTATCCTGGCCTTCCAGCCACAACTCTCTCCTCAAGTGAGCTGAGAATAAAATCAATGTCCAATCTAGAGCGTGTGCACCCAGCACACCTAACCAGGTGCCTGTCTCACATGCAGAAAGCCAGGCTGAGTCAGGAGGAATTGCTTGCTCAGGGCAATACACTCTCTAAATGCTGTCAGCCTTGTCACCCAGCCTGGCACCCCAAGAGCCTTCCCCCCATCTTGCCAAGCTCCCAGCAATAAAACTCCTGTTCCTTTCCATTCCTCATCGAGGGCTAGGCTGATAGCCCCTTGCCTCAGAACCAGAAAAGCAGACTGCCCTAGGATTGCAGAACAGAGTATCAGACACACCCTGAGCTCCAACGCTATTCATAGTGTTTGCCCCCGTTTACTGAGCAGATGCTCACCAGGCCCTGTCCTCTCTCGGCCTGTGTACCACGGCAGTTCGATTCCCATCACTGCCAGGAGGTTTATTCCACGTCCCAGGTCCTTTATCTGCAATTCCCAATCCCCACAGCCCTGGAAACTGAGTTCTCCCCACAATTTGGAACCATTTGTTACAAAACCTGATCTGGCTTGATGAGGCACAATTTTCTGTCCTACTTATTCCTCTTACAGTGAACATCCACGCCTTAGCTCGAGGAAATATTAACATGCTTAGAAAACACACACACACACATACACACACACACACACACACACACACACACGGAAGTCTCACCACTGAATGTTAAGTAATACACCATCTATGCACTGGGAAGTTAAAAAAATATATATACTGATTTCAGAGAGGAAGGGAGAGAGAAAGAGAGAGAGACATCAATGATGAGAGAGAATTGGCTGCTTCCTGCATGCCCCTCAATCGGGTCACCTGCCCTTGATGGGAATTGAACCCGGGACCCTTCAGTCCGCAGGCTGACACTCTAGCCACTGAGCCAATCCAGCTAGGGCTGCACTGGGGAAATTTTCCAAAATTCGAAATATTCCGAATTCTGGCAATATACCTAGTTTCACCAGGGCCTCCACCGTTTGTTTGTTTGCTTGCTTGCTTGTTTGTTTAGCGCTAAGGAAACCCAGTCAGTCCCTCCAGAAGGCCAGCTCCCCTGGGCTGTGAGTTGAGGCAGCCCTGGAAACATTTGCATTCTTAAAAAGGGCAAAGGGTTTCGCCATTACCGTTCAAGGAACCCCGAAGTGCCAAGTCTCCGAGGCTGGCACCTCCGGAGATGGGGCGCCCCGGGTGGCTGCGCTCCGGGTGGGGACGATCCCCGGCGGGCGGGGCGAGGGGGCTTCCGGGGCGGCAGCCACCTGGCCCGGCCCCCTCAGGCCCCGCCCGCTTCGGCTGGGCTCGGTGATTCACTCCCTCCTTCGCCTCAGGGCCCCCTTCCCGGCCAAACGGAGGGCAAGACGGCTGGGTGTGCAGTGTCCACGAGCCCGCGGGAACCCGAGCAGATCGTCCGCGCCCCCAGGGACTCCGGCCCGCGCCATGGCCGACTCCGATCGCTTCTCGGCCCCCGGCTGCTGGGTCAGCTGCACCAGCTTCGTGCGCACCATCAAGGGGATCCTTCTGTTCGCCGAGATTGTGAGCGTCCCGGGCCGGCGGGTGGGCAAGGGCGGGGCGGAGCGGCTCGATAGCATGCACACACACACACACACACACACACACACGCACGCACGCATGCCGAGGAAGGCGCGTGGCCGCGGGTGCTGGGCAGAGGGACAGGGGAAGTGGGTTCGTGGCCGCGGCCCGAAACCAGGGGCGCAGGGCGGGTCGATGGGGTTTGGAGAGGGTGGTCGGGAGTCGCTGGGCCACGCGGTGAGGCCAGGGGTCCACGGGGCGTCTGGGGAACGCCGTGGAGGGAGGCCGCGTGGACTCCTCCGTGGGCTCCAGGATGGGGCTCCAGGGGGCTGGGAGGTGGGGGACCTCCCGTGGCAGGGCGTGGCGCGGCCCGAGCGCCGTCGGGCGGGCTGGCGGGGCGCCCAGGGGCGGGGCCTGATGGGGTGGAGCCCCGTGCTAGTCCTTCCAGCCTTTCTCGGGTTCTTTCTGGCCCTTCCGCGGTGGGGCGGGAGGTCCCTCGCCGTTTGGGAGCCTCCGTTTCCCGCCCCCTCCCCTCACAGTGAACGCCGCCTTTGAGTCACTGGTAAAAGGGGTGCGGTGCCTTTAACCGGAGCCCTGCCCCTCTGGTGACACTCTCACCGCTTCTCAAAGGGGTTGCCTGGGGAACTGCACGTCCCGCCCGCCCCAAGCTGGCTCTGCACTGCTCACCAAACACCTGGCAGGGCCACTCCCAGCAGGCCGCCCCTATCTGAGAAGTGAAAGGGGGAAACTGAGGCACCCACCTCTACCCTTCCTAGCTGGGTGACCCTGGGCAAGTTACTTAATGTCTCTGTGTCTCGCTTTTGTCATCTATAAAATAAAGATACTGATAACAGTTCCCAGTTTATTGGGCTGCAGGATGATTAAGTGAGTTAATACTTGTACGGCTCTTAAAACAATGCTGGGAACACAATGAGCACACAGTGTTTAGCTGTGATTATTTGTCATCTTCCCAGTCCTGGTGGGCATCTGAGTTTGAGACCCCTGATTATATATATATATATATATATATATATATATATATATATATATATATATATTTCAGAGTGGAAAGGAGAGGGAGAAATAAAAAACATCAATGATGAGAGAGAATCATTGATCGGCTGCCTCCAGCACACCCCACAATGGGAATCGAGCCTGCAACTGGGGCATGTGCCCTGACTGGGAATCAAACTGGTTCATAGGTCGATGCTCAATCCCTGAGCCATGCCAGTGGGGCCAAGAGACCCTTGATTTTAACCCCTCAGCCCAGGGAGTGGATGGAGGCCCCCTTCCTCATGTCATCCTTCCAGATACTGTGCCTGGTGATTCTGATCTGCTTCGCCGCCTCCACATCGGCATACTCCTCTCTGTCAGTGGTTGAGATGATCCTTGCTGCTGTCTTCTTTGTCATCTACATGTGTGACCTGAACTCCAGGATAAGGATCATCAACTGGCCTTGGAGTGTGAGAAAGGGGACAGAAGTGGCTAGGCTAGGGAGGGGCCTCAGCAGTTGGGATTGTCCTGGGAACTCTGGATGCTGACTTCCCAACCTCTCTCTACTCCTTACAGGATTTCTTCCGAACCCTCATAGCGTCCATCCTCTACCTGATTATCTCCATCATTGTGCTCGTGGAGAAAGGAAACAGCTCCAAAATCATCGCCGGGGTAAAGGCTTTAGAGGCAGCTCCAAAGCAGAGAGAGGGATAGAGATAGACAGATAGATATGGGGGTGGGGTGGTGGAGAGTTGAGGGCCTAGGGGCCATTTCTGTCTCTGCTTCTGGCAGAAAATGTAGGATCCACAACATGCCACCCTTGTCCTCAGGGTCCGCAGGCAAGTCTGGCCAGAATCTTGATTCCTCTCAAGATTATCATTGGCTATAAAGGGCCATCCCTGGCCTGACACAGGATCTTTGTCAACATACTAGACTTGCCATCGGCTAGAACTCTGTTTTACGTGTACACTGGGAATGGTGCCACGTAGATGGGGGAGGGCTCTCCTGACTTGAGTAGTACCAGGAGAAGGGAGAGTCCGGGTAGAGTCCAGTTTCCCGACCCTTTCAGCGCCATCCCTTCCCGGGGCAGTCACTGGAGGTAGTAGATATAAGAAGGTAAGAGGGTGAGTAGGCTGACCAGCCTAATCCACAGCCCCCTACTCTCATCCCCACTTCCAGGTGATGGGCCTAATCGCTGTGTGCCTCTTTGGCTTCGATGCCTATTACACTTTCCCCTTGAAGCAGCAAAGACACACAGCAGCCCCTACTGGTAAGTAAGAGTCTGTGTGTGTGTGTGTGTGTGTGTGTGTGTGTGTGTGTGTGTATGTGTGTGTGTAGAGGGGTGTTGTTGCGGAGGAAAGGGCATGAATGCCAGCTCTGTTTCTCATTGCTACTTAGGGCTGATGTCTGTTCTTGGTTGTTGTTTTGAAATTGTTGTGCCAGGCAGCAGCTTAGGTGCTTACCTAGGCCTCCATCTTGGTTTCTCCCTACTTACGGCTTTAGTATCAACAAGTACTATAAGCATCACCATTCTTGTTTGTAAAGTGGGCATATGGGTCCTAACTGCTTTCTCTCTTTTCCTCACTTGCAGACCCTACAGATGGCCCGGTGTAGGTGAACTACCTGGATTTCTCTCTGCTACCTGCAAATAACTCCCATCGAAATCACTGCTCCCCGCCCCTACAAACACTCCTAGCCAACTCCCAGCCTCCTATTGAGGTAAAAGTGCCTTTATCTGAAGAATGTGTCTTCCAGCCTGCCAATCAGCCCTCCTGGGTGTGGCCACCTCTAGGGGTGTGCCTGGGTTCCCCTTCCGAAGCATCTAGAAGCAGACACCAGTTCTGCCCCAACTATGCCCCCACCTAAGCAGCAAAATGAGGGAGAGGGGTACCTCCGTTTCGGACTCTGGGCCCCAGGTTGTGACACACTGTAAATCACCTCAGTGTGGGAGGGGGTTCTGCGGAGGGATACATATGAATAAATAATAAACGGATTGCTAGAATATATGGTAATGAATAAGTTCATCCTTTGATCAGATGGGGATATCTCAAGCATCAGGAGGGGCAAAGGGGGGAAGGGAGGCAGCTGGAGCACAGAGGGGGAGAAGCCAGGCCTGTTTTAACCCAAATATTAAGACACTTCAATCGTACAAACAGAGGTAGCAAGGAAGGGGATTTATTCTCAAGTCTTGGAGAAATGGAGCCCTCCAGGACAGCCTCGCCTTCAAGCCACGATGCAGTTCTTGTCTCTGGCCTGGCGAGGCGTCCCTGGGCCCGAGTTCTCGGGGGCCACCGGAGATGGAGAGTTAGGGGTCTTCGTTGCAGTGTCCTGAGCAGCCAGGGGCCGGGTCAGGTGCGGGGGCAGTGGGATGCGTTCCCCCAGGAAGAAGCCATCATCCTCGGAGGACTCTGAACTGGAGCTGGAGGGGGAGCTGGAGCAAGATTCGGAGTCTGATCCCAAGTTACATTGCTGGTGAAGTCTGCCAGACCGGCGTCTGCGGTGATGACGGTGGCGGCGACGCGTGGGGGCCCTGGGAGGGGGACTGCGAGGCCTGCGGCGCTGGCCTGGAGGCGCACTCAGGGTCCGCCGAGGGCCGCCTCCGTCAGACACCAGAGGGTCCCGGAAGCTGACTCGAGGGGCACTTTGGCGATTGAAAGAATCATCTTCAGGGTCCAAATGGCCGGGGGTCCCTGCGGGTGGCTCGGGGGCGCTGCGGAGCCCCAGCTCGGGCATGGAGTGGCGGTGAGGGGCCCCTCTCCGGAAGCGGGAGGGCTCCTCGGGGCCTGCAGCTGGAAGCAGAGATGGAGGGAGTCACTGTATGTATCTGCCTTCTCCCAGAGGAGCCCTGTGGACAGGGGTCGGAGAGGGCAGCGAAGTGGGGAGTTGGAAAATAGGCCTGGGACCGGGTCTGAGTGGAGGGGGGGGGGAGGTTGGAATTCAGGGGGAGGAGCAGGACTGGATGGGGAGAGGGGGCGTGGCTTCTGGTGGAAGGGGCGTGGCACAGGCTGGGGCAGATTAGGTTTTCCATAAAGTGCAGGGTCCAGGGTTTGGAGAAGAGGAAGAGGAACTTGGGCTGAGGCAGGTACCAGTTGAGGTAGGGCAGGGCCTTGCATAGAAGGGAGTCGACGGGGTTCAGGAAGAGGTGTAGTTTGGGTGCAGCCCAGGCCTGGGATGATTTGGGGGTGGGGCCAGGGGGACAGCAGGTGAAGGGACTGGGCAAGTCGCCCCCAGGGACCAGGTTTGGGGGGGGAGGAAGGGGCTGGGCAGGACTCCAGGGGTAACTCACCGGGCTCGGTCTCAGTGCTGGTGCCTTTGGTGGCGGTCTCGGATGGCCCCTCCCCAGGAGAGAGAGAAGCTGTGGGGGCTGGGAGCGGTGTGGAGACTGTGCTGGCGCTCCAGCTGCGGCGGCCGGGCCCCGAGGAGGCCGTGGGCTCGGACCCCAGGCTGCAGGCTCGAGAGCAGAAGATTAGGCCCCGGCGTGGCAGAAAGGGGCGACCCAGCAGGGCCCGCCCACAGCCACTGCAGCAGAAGCAGCGGTCGGAGGCGTGCCAGTGCTGGCCCTCGTAAGCCATCTGGCCCTGGTCCAGGCCTGGGGGGACACCGCGAGGGGGGGGGAGAACTAAGACAGAGCCCCCCTGGCATGTCCCATCCTGCTCACATGGGACCCTTCTGAAGAGAGCAGGAACCTGAAGCAACCCCAAGACTCCTATCCACTCCCCACCCCCACCTCTCCAAAATGGCGCCCTTCTTGGCAGAAAGCAGGAAATCCGAGATTTGGTCCTCACCGTAGGGTACCTCAAACTGGCTGATTAACATCTTCTTCCCTACTCTTTCTTTCCCAGGGTCCCCTCTCCAAGGGTGGGGCCTGCGTACTGGACTCTAAGATGTGGGTCAGGCTTAGACAGTGAGGTGGCTTCCGGTGGAAGGACAGATGGAAGGACAGTGGACTTAAAGGGGCCTGGGCCGTGCGGACAGGGCGGAGTAGGGCGTGGCCTCGGTGGGAAAGAAGTGAATCTTCGAGAGCAGGGTGTGGTAGAAAGTATGATGTACCAAGGCCAGCGATTTCCAACCTGTGCCGTCTCCTGGCACACATAAACGAGTGACTATACTTCTGCAGCACACCACAAATATATGCTTTGCTGATCTGACAACAGATAGGTATCATTTTGATTCATTCGCGCCAGACGGCTATTGCTGTGTTGGCTGTTGTCCTTGTTTATTTGACAATCTAAGGGAAAAGAGGTCAGGGCCCCTGACTAATTAGTCAGGCATTGCGTGTTTTAAGAATTCTTGCGGCACACGAGTTGAAAATCACTGAGCTAGGTTGATGGAGAGTCTTAGAGCATAGGGTAACAGCTTAGGAGCATAGGAGGTAGGCTGTCAGGGAGGCCAGGGGTACTGGGAATGAGAGGGCACTCTGGAGGTGGGGGTGTAGCGCTGCCCCGAACTGTGTAGGAAGATTTAGAAAGTATGGTTGGGTGGGAGGTCTTGGTGATGGGACCTGCAGTGAAAGGTATAGGGTTATGGCGCTTGGACTAGGGGATAATGGTGGGCAGCGCCTGGAGGACAGAATGAATAGAAGGGGAGAGGGGTTGTGGCCTAGATGTGAATCCATCCTCCTGTCCAATGCCATGTTCACCCACCGATGTGCTCCCCGCAGCCGTCACAGTACTCCGCATGGCGGGCCTCGTAGCAGGCGCAGCAGTGTGGACGGCTCTGACGCATGACGTAGCGCTGTCCTCCTAGGGATGCTTCACACTCGAAGCAGCAGAAGTGACCCATATGCCAGTGCCGGCCCTCGGCCTCCGTGCACTCAGGGGAGAAGATGATCTGGGGGAGGGGGGACGCAGGCCATCTGTGGCCGTCAGCGGGGCCTTCCCTGGCCCTGGCCGCCCTCCACTCCCTCCCCTGGGCAGTAAGGCATCACCTCGTCGCAGGCTTGGCAGCGCGGACGCAGGCGCTCAGCGTGGTGGCGGCCACAGTAGACCTTGCCAGCGTGGTAGAAGTAGATGAGATCCACCAGCAGCTCCCGGCACGTGGAGCAGACGAAGCACTGAGGGTGCCAGCAGGCACCCAGGCCTGCTCGGCTGGCGAACACTGCGATGTCTCCGCCTCCGATCTGCTTCCCGCACTGCCAGGCCACAGAGAGGCACCGTCACCCTCACCGACATGGTTAGATGGGGGATCGGCCAAGGTGTGTATCATACTAGGGCCTTCCCCGTGGTCGGCCCTTGGGACCGGCCTTACCTATGGGGTAACTTCGAGAAAGGCCCTGCCTCCACGGGAGGAGGAAAGTGCCTTAGAAATGGACCCTGTGTCTGTGGAAACCTTACTCATCGTGGTGGCCTTTAAAGGAGGCCTTGTTCTCACAGGGTTGGTGAGACCACGGAGCCAGGCCAGGCCCAGGGGGAGCCTTAGCAACAGACCTCACCTAACAGGAGGATGTAAGGCCAGGCTCCAATCACTGAGGGGAGGGGGCCTTAGAGAGAAATTCCACCCGCCATCTGGCTCTACAGACAGGCCCTGCCGCTGTGGGTGGGTTCTTTTTTATATACCATATAAATATATTTTATTGATTATTTTACAGAAAGGAAGGGAGAGGGACAGAGAGTTAGAAACATCCATAAGAGAGAATCATCGATCAGCTGCCTCCTGCACAGTCCCCACTGGGGATGCGCCCGCAACCAAGGTACATGCCCTTGATCAGAATCGAACCTGGGACCCTTCAGTCCGCAGGCCGACACTATCCACAGAGCTATACCGGTTTCGGCAGTGTGGGTGGGTTCTTAAGGACAAGTCTCCACCACAAGAGGACCAGAGAGGAAACGAATAGAAAAGGTCCATTGTGGCCTCCTTAGAGACAGACCCAACCCAACAGAGGGATCTGAGGAACAAGTGCCATCCACCAGGAAGCCCTACACACAGACATCGCTGGCCAGGAAGGCTTAGAGGCAGTCCCTGCCTGACAGTGGGATAGGGACATGGGTCCTGCAATCCAGGGCTTGGGGCAAGGGCGCCACTCCCTCCCGTGAGCCTTCCATGGCTCACCTCCTCACAGATGGCCCCGGTGATGGTCACTGGGAAGATGCGCACGGTGCCACGCCCCAGGTTCTCCCGTTTCCGCTGCTGGCTGAAGGCTCGGAGCTCTTTCTTCTCCTCCTCTACCAGTGCGGTGCAGTACTGTGCCTGAGGTAGGGAGGGTCAAACAGGCTCCTCCCCTGTTGTCTGCCCCCCACCCACCCACTTTCAAATTTCTTCCATGCTCAAAATCTTACTTCAGTGCCTCTGTATAGATGGCGCTTCCTGTAGAGATAACCATCCCTGCCCTCCTCTCCCAAGTCCCACGTGTGGCTTTGCCAAGGAATGTCCTCTGCCCTTTAGACCTTTCCCCTCAGATCAGCTCACCTCTGATCCTGCCCATTTCTTCCCAGCTGTGAGGCATTTGCCCAGGCTGTGCCCCCTCCCTGACAATGCCCTTCCTGTCTTCTCTCTCCTCACCTCACTGTCGTGTGGGGGAAGCTGGTGCAGCAGCTGCTTGATCCTGTATTTCTCCCCGGGACTGTTGACGTAGGGGACCTTGTCCTCTGGGAGGCAGCTGAAAAACTGGTATACCT